CACCCACCCCCCCTCCATCCTGACCCCGCTCCCACCCCGGCCCCGGAGCAGGTCGTGAATCAAAACCGGTGGGAGGCCAAAGAGGACTCTGCAGTCGTGTTGCCCCAGGGGCAAAATTTATCCTTCCTTTTAAGTTATTTTGGATACCGCGCGAGTTTTTGGACCCTCTGGCTGGTCAGCAAAGGGCAAAAAAAAAAAAAAGAGAAGGAAACACAAACACTAATGGCTAAAAGGAAAAGCAAAGTTTACAGTTTTATGCCTGGAGGAGAAGCAAATCCCTCGAGGGTGGGATCTGGCGGGGGAGGGGAGGAATAGCGTCCAGCCAGGGAAGCGGAGGTGGGGGGGACGGTGACTCTGGTTCTGCTTTTCCCCGTCACCCCCCCTCCCCAGCTCTGCCTCAGCTCTCCCAGATTGACGCTGAAAATGGCAGGAAGGGCGGGTTTTTGGAGGGGGGGGGGGGGGGGGGGGGGAAGAGTGACTTATACGCTGTGAGCACACCCTTCCAAAAAAAAAAGTATTTTGTGAGATGCTAGAAGCTCCCGGGAGGATGGGAGGATCAGTCCGTTCCTGCTCTGCCTTAGGGCCTCCCTCCCACCACGGTGCCAGCCAGGACACCAGCTTTTTTCCCATTTTCCCTACATTTGCACCCACAAGCCTGCCTGTGTCCCTCCGTCCCATTTTCCCCCTCCTCTTTTTCCTTTCGGAGGCAATAAGTTAAACCTCGATTTTTTATTTTTTTTTTAAGTGCCATCGGGTGCGTGTGCCACTGTCCCATCTTCACAGCCTGGTCCCCTCCCCAGCCGGTTACACCAGCCTATGCGCATACATATACATACATCCGCATATATAAATATATATACGATCGGTGAGCGCCAGGGGGTGCATGTGTATATATGTGTTTATATATATGTATGTATATATACAGCAGCGGAGTGGGGTGGGGGGTGTATGTGTAAGGGCAGCTCCCGTGCTTTGGAAAACTCGGGGAAATGGGATTTTGGGGCAAAACGCTGCAGATTTGGGGTGGAGCAAAGGGCAGAGACCTCGGGGGAGGAGGGGACACCCACCTCCCTCCCTGTAACGGAGGGTGAGGGTCTGGGCGGGAACGGGGAAAGAATGAACAGCATCTGAACGTTGGGTTTTTTCCGGGTTTGGTTTGTTGGAGGTTTTTTTTGTTTTGGTTTATTTTTTTAATTATTATTTTTTTTCCCTGCTCTGGTGAAAGGGAGCCTGTGTGCAGTGTTGGGCAGCGTAAACAGGGAGGGATCACCCTTGGAAACAGAAAAACATCCTTCCTCTCCAGCCAGCGTCGGCTTCCCTTCCTCCAAAACCCACCACACAACAACAAAAAAAACTCCCAAAAACCCAAAAAAGTGAAGTTTCAAAGGCCGGTGCAACAAAACCAGGGCAGAGCCACCACACTGCCAAAGTTTTTGGGGGTTTTTTAGGGCGAAAAAAAGTAACCAAAGGGGGAATTTTGCTCCCCTCGCTCTCCAGACCCGCAGCGTGCCGTAATACTGGAGCGTGCGTGGCATTGCCCAGTGCCGGGATGGCCGCTCCGGTGGGACGAGGCTGGGGAGGAGCCGCCCGGTGGGGGGGGGGGGGGGGTTTTTTTTTTTTTTTTTTTTTTTTTTTTTTTTTTTTTTTTTCCAAGAAGGAACCATAAATCTGCTTTTCCCGAGCCTGGGAACGGGGCGGCGAGCACGCTCAGCATTCCTGCACGCTTGCTCACGGCACGCTGGCTCACCAACACCCGGCTTCGGCCGCCGAAATCCCCCCCCCCCCCGCCCTGTTGCCCAAATCCTGCTCTTTCCTCCAGAAATTCCCGGTGGCTTTTTTATTTCTCCCATTCTCATGGAAAAAGCGTGATACCCCCCCACCCAATGCCACATCGCTCCCAAACAGAGCAGATGAGTTTTGGGAATGCTGGCAGCCCCCACACGCTTCCTTGCTCCCTCGTGTCCTCTTTTTTCACCCCAAAAAGATAAGGCCTTAGAGGGGAGCGGGATTCATCCCGCCAACCGCTCCCAAGGGAAGGGGCTTGGAGGGGACAGGGGGCTGGATCTGGCGCCCCCTGGGAATTTGGAGGGGGGGGGGGCCTTTGCTCATCCCTAGGCTGGAGCAAGCAAACCCAAGGTAATTATTTTGGGGTTTTTTTATTTTTTATGATTATTTTATTTTTCCTGCACGGTTGGATGCGGCATGGGCGGATGCCACCGAGCGGCCGGACCCCCGAGCCCCTGGCACAGCGGCTCGGCGCGGATGGGTCGGGGTAGCAATAAGGGACAACGATTCCCAGGCTAAAAATATTTGGCGTTTTCTTTTTTATATATACATATATATATATAAAAATGTATATTAAATTGTTTGGGGTTTTTGTTTAGTGTCTAATTTTTTTTTTTTTTTTAAGCGAGAAGGAAGCGTGGATTGGGATCGTTAACTCCTTATTTTTACTTTCCCTGCGAGACGGATCCGTTGGAAAACCCAAGATTTCCCTTTTCACCCAAAAAGGGCTGTTTGATGCTGGGGGGGGCGAAGGGGGGGCGGCTCTTCCCCACCCCCCCAATTTTGGGGAGAAAAATCCAGGTTTGGCCATTGGGATCTTGTGTTGCACCCCAGGGTGGGGGGGGGGTCAGCCCTTTCCCACTTGTTGCAGTCCACATTTTGGGGGGCTTTAATCCCCATTCTTGGGGGGGAGGCAAAAATTGGAGGGTGCCCCCCCCAAATTCCCGCCCCGTCCTCGCCCCCAGAGCGGTGACGGAGACCCCCAAACGAGTCTGATGACACCCGTTCTCCCCCGTCCCCTCCCGCCCCGCCGGTACCAGTGAACGCTCTCACCGTTTGAAACAAAATATAGTACTATAAAATAATTTTGTACTGTATTTATTGTGTATAACGATTTTTTTAAAGAATTATGTACATTTAGTACTTCTGTGTAAATTAAATTGCTCTTCTTTTTAAAAACTGCGCCCGCCTCAGTGGTCCCTCTTGCTTTCGGCAAACACCCCTGCTCCTTGCCCCCGTCAGCAAAATAATTAAAATCCGGGTAAAACCAAAAAGCAGCAGCTGAGACCCCGGGTGGAGGGAGGGGTCCCAGCCTTGGGGGCAACCCAGACCGACCCTCGGCTTTTTGGGGTGAATTCTGAGGGGTTTAGGACTTGCAGCTAAGGTGAGGAAGAACCTGAATCCTGACCCGGGAGAGGGGTCGGGGTTCTTTTTTGGGGAGGGAGATCCGGCACGGGAATGGCCATAGCCGGTTCTCACAATCCTTCCCCCAACCCCCTTGCCGTTATTAATTTATTAATTTTTTTTTTTCTTTTATGGCTTCATCTCAACCCCGCCTCGCCCTGATAATTTATGTTAATACATTTCCCCGCCCTCCCCAGCCCTTTTCTCCCGGCCGCCTCCGGCCCCCCGCTCAGATCTTCGGGACCTTCGGCATCGCCAGGAAAGGGATTTTTTTCCTCAAAAAAAAAAAAAAGTGAAAAGGGGGAGAAAAAGAAGAAGAAAAGGGACAAGTCGCATCGGCCAGGAGTAGCGTCCCGCTCTGGAAAGCGGTGCTGGCAGCTCCGCTCCCTCCGTGGACCCCCCGACAGCCTTTCGCTGCTTTTTTGGGGGGAAAAAAGGTTAAAAGGAAAAACACCCCCCCCCCCCCCCGGCCTGCGAGCAGCAGCCCCGAGCCTCACCGGGAAGGCGAAAACAACCCCCAAAACCTCCTTTTTTCTGCTCAATTTTGCAGCGTTTCTCCTCCGAGGAGCCCAGGACGGGTTGAGGGGTGGGGGGGAATCCCACCGCGCACCCCCCAGCACCCCATGGCTCAGCCCTCCAGCTGAACCCAGCAGACCCCCCCTTCGCCAGCCCCCCCCCCCTTTCCCCAACCCACCCACCCAAAGGACACCCATTTCGGGGTTGCCGCTGCCCCCCCCTTCAAATCTCACCAGGGATATCCCCCCCCCAAAATCCATCGCCAGGATGTTCAGCTGGATGCGGAAAAACGAGAAGAAGAGCCCTGAGGTGGTCCGCACCGTCACCGAGGGGCTGAAGACCCTCTACAAGAAGAAACTTTTACCGGTGGAGGAATTTTACCGTTTCCACGATTTCCACTCACCGGCTTTGGAAGACGCTGATTTCGATAATAAACCGATGGTGTTGGTGGTGGGGCAATATTCCACCGGGAAAACCACTTTTATCCGTTACCTGTTGGAACAGGAGATTCCCGGGAGCCGGATCGGTCCCGAGCCCACCACCGACTCCTTCGTGGCCATCATGCACGGGGAGACGGAGGGGATCACGCCGGGCAACGCCCTCATCGTCGATCCCAAAAAACCTTTCCGGAAACTTAATCCTTTTGGGAATACTTTCCTCAACCGGTAAGTGCAGCCCCCGCCCCAATATTCCACCACCACCCCCCTGCCATCATCATCATCATCATCATCATCATCATCACCGCCCCAGGGCTGGGTGAGGGGGGGTCCCGCTCCACCCAGTAAGCCACAAGTTGAGTCTTACTGGAGCAAAGCCCCCCCTTCCCCAAAAAAGAAATGGGGGACACACCCCCCCCAATCCCACCTTGGGAGAGGGGGGATCCCAGATTTCACCCTCCGATTCTTGGGGGTTTTTTTCCCCCAATTTGGGGTATTTTCTCTCACCCCCCCCCCCCAAAACCCAAAATGAGGGAGGGGGCAGCCCTCAGCTGCTCAGCACCCAGCTCAGACCCCGGGTGGGGGGGTCCCGTTTGGGGTCACCCCTTGGAAAG